CAACCAATATAGTAAGGATGCGCGATAAGGATGCAAGGGCCTTGGAAGGCCACGTCGAAGCTTTTCGAGCGGGGCGCGGCCAGCGAAAGCGACCAAGGATAGGCCGAGGAGGCAAGGATGCAAGGGTACCCTTGGGAAGGTTGCCCATCCTTCCTATGCGGGTTGACTGTAGAAGGATGGGGCGCACCCTCCATCAGCCTCCTCCTGCAGCTGCTGGCCCTCCTCACCCTCATGCCACTCCTGGCCGAGCTGCACGAAGCGCTCGAGAGAGAGGGGCCGCCCAGGCCGACCTTCGCCAGCAACTGACCTCGGGTGAGGCCTGCGTGCCTGATCACGGCAACCCGCCCGGGCCTCGTTGCTGGCTGGGCTGGGGGGGGACACGCAAGCGCGAAGACTTCCTCGAGCTCTGTCTTCTCCTGTCAGGCTGCATGTCATGATAAAGCCCGAAGGCACCAATGACCACGAGGTCAAATCTAGGAGGGTACTCAGGAGGATCCCGAGAGGAGGGGACGTCCGAGAAGACCCCGAGGGCCCCTGGTAGTGGCACATGCGGCCCTGGCACCGAGGAGCGCGAATCACGTCACTTCGTGGGCCTCGCCTAAGGACGGCTGGATAGACCCCACAGGGACTCCAGGAGGGCCACACGAGAGTCCTCCCTGAGAAGTTGCCTGATCATTTTTCCTGATCCCGTAGAGGCCGGCCGGGTGGCTTCTGAGCGTTGATCGAGGTCCTGAGCTGTTCTAGCACTGGCCGCGCTCCCAGCTCGTAACGCTGCTCCCCTTTGGGACCCAGGTACGATCCCAGCTCAGAATACTGATGTCGCTTGGACGCTGACCGCATTCCAAAGTCCAAACGGTGCTGTCGCCGTCGTGCCAGTCACATGCATCAGCAAGGGCTGGCTGCATTCAGTGCATCGTGAAAACGCTAGCCTTGTGCACAGCCAGGAGCCAAACATAATCTTCGGTGCACCCTACGGATGCCACTCCTTGGACATGCCAGAACTGCACCATAACAAGACCTGGATGTCCCTGCCACGAAACTGCCAAGACCAGACCTGGTTCCCCCCAAGATCTACCAAAATCCGAGACCGTGCCAGGAACCGTCACAGGACCCTGCCAACTGCCAGCCCAGACATACTCCAACAGGACACAGCCACGACCAGAACGGGGCACTTCAATATCACTCCTCTTCCTTCTTCTGCTCCTCCTCCTCCTCCTCCTCCTCCTCCTCCTCCTCCTCCCTCTCCCCCTCCCCCACCCCCTCCTCCTCCGCCTCCTCCTCCGCCTCCTCCTCCTCCTCCCTCCACCGCCCGCCCCATGTCGCGAGCCTGTGGCAGGGTCATCAGCTCGTCGTTGTCGTTATCGTCGTGGTCGTCGTCGTCGTCGTCGTCCTTCTGGGTCAGCGGCACCGGCCGTAAGGCTTTCACATTACTCCACCAGGGCAATGCCACCACCATGACAGGGCACTTCAATATCACTGGCACGACTCTGATGGGATCTAACCAAAACCTGCAAGACCCCACCAGGACACTAGAAGAACTCTCAGCCTACCATACCTTGCCAGCACCGGATGGGGGCCCTCAACAAGACCCTGCCACGATCTCGCCAAGATCTCGCCCAAACCCTGCCAGAGCCTGGGCATGAACGTGTCAGGACCCGGCCATGACCAAGATACTGCCAAAATGTCACTACGACCTCGCAACCGACTGAAACCCAGCAAGCGCGCAACCATGACACATCAATGCCACTACGACGACCATTCCACAGAAATGAGACTATCATTACCAACGACGACACAAGCAAGACCACGTGAGGACCCTAGAAGACGCCATGATGCGACCAGGATACTACCAAGAGCCTACCAGGACCCTGCAGGACGTTACCCAAACCCTACCGAAGACTTTGCAAGACCTTGTCAAATACTTGATTGAATTCTACAACGCACTCTTGCCAAGACTCGACGCAAACCCGACCAAAACACGAATTAGCAGAATCCCGCAACGACCCCAACAGGACACCGCCAATACCGCCCGGAACCTTGCTGCATTTATTTACTACACCGAGATCCTGCAAGATGACTGCAAGGACCCCGCCAGGAGCTTACCAAAAACCACTCCCAGATCCAACCGGGGCCCCGCCCAGACCCTACGCCACGGTCCAGGGACAGCCATGGGCAACTCATTCAATGTTCTAAGTGCCTCTCTCCTCCTCTCTCTCCATGTCCTGCTTTTGGATCAACTGATGGGACCAGCCGGAGAAGAGAGAGGGCGACACCAGACGGACTGCAGAGATAGACCCCTGCCCCTGCCCAGGCCCTTGGACAAATAGGTGCGATAAACATCGCAAGGTCAGCTGCTCCGTCGCCCTCGATCTAGGCAGCGCCATATACACTATAATCGTTTGCAGTTCGCCCGGATGCAGTTTGAGGGTGCCAGGCCCTGGGGAGTCCGAGGAGGAAGCTGCCTAGTCCCTGTCCGCCTTCAAACGGGAGGACGGGGGTGGTACGCCCAGGAGTGCGCAAAGCACCGTGCCCAGTCGTGCCCATCCCATGCACATCCCCCGCCCCGGATGAAAATCGCATCACGCAGACCAAGGATGCCACTGGCCGCAAGGAAACCCGTATGAGCTGGTAGGCAGGCTGGGCTCAGGATTGGCCGAAGAGCCAATGATTTTGTTTGAGGTTGAATAGGCAAGGAAGCAAGGGTAGCCTTGTTGAGGCACTGCATCCTTACCACGAGCTTGAAACTGTAGGCAGGCACGCCACTCCAACGCAGCAGGTGAGGTGCGGAACCCTATGCCTGCATCAAATTGTTATACACGTAGGAGTTCGGCTTCATGTCGTACCTGGCATCTCCCAAGTCGATCCATACAGTGCGACCCTCCTTCCTGGCTGCTTCTGTATGGTTTGTTGTCGCAAGTGTCACCCTCCCTCCCCATATGAACATGTGTGTGCTTGTATAAATGGGTGCGCTCTCTGCTGTGGCATGCGCTCTCGCACTGCATCTGTACTGTTGCCTCCGTATGGGAGTTCAGCGACTCCGAACCCAGACATCGTCAACACAACAACTGCGAAAGCCTTGCGCTTCACAACGGGTACGTTGAATAGCGGCACGGGCTCCCTGCATTGGTACGCGCTCTCTCGCACTGGGTGTCCTGCTTAGGGTCCGTGCAAAAGAGGTACCGAGAGCCCGAACCCCGAAACCAGTACAAGTAATGCGCGGGCTGCGATTTTCTTTGTATTATAAAAAAACAACATGGGTTGAACTATCTCTGCTCTGTCTCTCTGCTCTCTCTCGTTCTCTTTCTCTCTTTACTCCCTATGCCCACTCTCTCCGTCTGTCTCTGCCCCCTCTGCTCTCTCTCTCTCTCTCTCTCTTTCTGCCCGCTGCTCTCTGCTCTCTGGCCTTGCTCTCTTCTGTTATATATCTCATTATGTCTGTTCAGTGTCTCTGTCCCTCTCTCTCTCTCTCTCTCTCCCTACATACATGCATACATACAGGCATGCATAATCTTAGATTTGGCTGTCTCCGTTTCTCTCTCTCTCTCTCTCTCTGTATCTCTGCTATATAGTCTCTCTCTTTCTCTGCTGTCTCTTTCTCCCTGCGCCACATGCCTGCAAACTGCGACCGCCCTACACGCGATCTAAAACTGCGCGGCGGTGTCACTGGGATGCACGCGGCTGTTTGTTGATGAAGGTGAACCTGGAGCGGTCAACAATGGTACCCGCCTGTTCCTAGACAGCCCGTGTCTTTCATCTCGTATGAGGTACCGCGTGGCATGTGAAACTCTGCGCCGCTAACCTCGTCCGTCAATCGAACGTCCCGGAGTAGCCTGTCAAAAGACGAGGCACACTTCTCCGTTCAATGTGGCGATCGCCGAGCCCCATTCAAAATCAATGACAGCCCACTTTTGGACACTCATTTTCGCATGACGTCTTCACTTAAGAAGCTATGCCTCGCGCTATGTGTCGAGCTTCCTCCAAACAGCTTGGATGGCCGAACCAGTACCAACTCAACTACTTTCGTTAGTATTAGTGCTCCTGCCTTCATTTCATGTGACTGACCGATTGCAGATGAAGGGCGTGAAGTGGTAGACATGAACGGCAACCCATGAAAGCGGCATGACTTGAGAATCTTTCTCGCTGCATATGAAAGCAAAGGTGCCGCGTCAAATGAGCGATGGATTGGGCCGCACTCTGGGAATTATGAGTTGCATTTGACAAAAAATCCCGGGACTGAAACAACGCGAAGCTTATATAGTCAAAGTCGCCGCGGGCGTAAATCACACAATGGGTAGAGTGACCCCTTTGAGCCGAGATGATGGGTCCCCATTCGCTCGCAACCGTCGTAAGTCAAAACTATTTGTAGCCTGTGTGATTCGCCGTCGGGGTTTTCACATCAATTTTCCCTAGCCCTGGCCTCGCCGCGTGAGCCTCGCGAACGCCAGCCTGTGCCAAGCCCTTGTTGAACTCATCCATCGCCCATACGTCTTTCAAGATGGTGTTATGGTGACCACCAGAGCTTGGTAATACCATTGTCAGGTTGAGCATGCGGCTGAGTATTGCCGCATTGACGATACATGCCCGAATGCCCAAGTATTCCAAATTCGAGCTAATGCTCACCCTCCGGAAAGAGCCCGAGTTGTTCGGCAAGAGTCTGATGAGGAAGGCTTCAGGGCACCTGCGAGAGAGAGGTTGATGGCGACGACCGCAAAGCAGAGCAAGGATAAAGATGCGCTCTTGGCTAGGCGGCATGCCCTGCGACTCGTGTGACCAAACGGCTACGCGTGTAGGGCGTCCTTTGTCCATGCATGAGCTTTGGTTAGCTCGCCTCCTGAACTATGCCATGGCGCCTGTGAATGCACTGCAAACTTTGCAATGCCTTCTGGTCTGCTCGGTTAGCGGGGCGCGCTTATGCGTCGGGTCTGCCTGACCGTAAGCGCCGCATACCCTGGTACACCCCAGATGCGGCCCCTGGAGACACCTGAAGGCGGCAACAACACACTCAGGTGCTGCAAGGTCTTCACACGACAGATCCACCCGCACGCGTCGCGCGACGCATCTCCGTCGCAGTTCAGGCGCATCCGCACATGAGGGGGTGATATGGCTCCTGCTAGGTGTCGTGCTTGCACGCGGGGTGGCGACACTGCTGTTTTGATTTGCGCGTCTCCCAAGATGGTTCAGAATCTCATCGACTTCCCCCCGCACCCCGTGCAACGTCCTACAATTGGCAACTTCGCTTGGACGGCCGCGCCTCCACCGACGAACCAGCCATCAACTGGGCGTACTCTCCGAGACAAGCAGCCGCCTCCTGTTGCGTACGGCGGCGAGGTCGCGAACTCCGTCTCTGCGATGCTGTGCGACCACACGTGCGCTGCGGCGCCGCTGGACGGCGTCTCGAGCGATGAATCGTGTCGCAGCAGGCCTCGACGCAAAGGAGCTGTTCTCCCACGCGAAGGTCGGCCGTTTGCTGACATTATTGCTCGGACAGGTGACGCTGTGGTTGTTGAGGGAGCCTGGCATGAGACGCAAAGGCGCTGGCCTCCGACAAGGAGCGATGGCCCAGAAACTCGGGGTAGTTCCACACGACCGTGACGCACACGTTGGAGGCCAATGGCGGGGATTGGACGTTTGCCAAAGGGGGGGCTGCGAGCGAGAAGCGGGTGCGCAGCTGCGGCCTTCGTCGTCCAGGTGGACTGCGCGAGAATAGCTACTACGATCCGCAAGCAAGGGCTACGATCACCCACGCGGCCGAGGCGATAAGATGGCAGAACGTCGATTTGCGCAAGTCTCGAGCGGCCTTTGACCTTGCCCCAGGCACGTGACAGCAATTTCGCAACGGCAGAATTCGCAGGGATGCACGCGAGCAGCGCCCTGCTTTGCTTCGCGCCGCTTGGCATATGGCCAACCCCACAATCACTTAACATTCATGGTAACGTACACGTCGTTCAGTTCTAATCGTGCTCATTTCTAACTGTGCTCCTTTCTAATGGTTCCTGGCCCCCCAGTGGCCAGGAAGAGGCCCAGGATAAAACAATTAGAAATGAAAAGATCTTGGCCCTCCAAAAAATCAAAGAACTTCCGAAGAACTAGACATGAACACTGTGTATCCATACCACTCCTCCTGGCCTTCCGCTGGCGGAGCCGCCCTCGTTCTACCTCCGCCCGCGTCGGCCGCCTCCCGCCCAGGGGCATCCGAGGGCCTGCACCTCGGCAAGCGCACGCAAAACTTTCGTGGCACGAGCGTGCCTCCCTCGCCCCCCCCCCCCGGCCTCTCCAGCCGCCCCTCGCCTCCTGCGCTCCCGCCGCTCCTCCTCCTCCTCCTCCTCCTCCTCCTCCTCCTCCTCCTCCTCCACATCCCGCTGTGCTCTGGTGCGCCCCGCCGCTGAGCCTCCTGCGGCCGCTGGCCAGAGAGCGCTGCTGGCATCCGGAGGATGGGAGGGCTTAGCGGCGGAGGGGCGGCCGCCGCCGACACGGGTATGCCCTCATCACCCTCTGTCGAACAGCTGCAGCGCGCTGCAACGGCAGTTGCCCCTGCGCGAAGTGCCCTGGAGTGGCGACCAGCACGGAGGGATGAAAGCCTTCGGCACGCGCGGGGACAGAATGCAAGCCTGCCTTCGCATACGCAGGGCTAGAAGGCGAAACTGCCCAAGTCTCACAGCAACGGGGACACGTGCGCACGCCCAAGAGAAAACGCCATCGTTGCTGGTCGTTGACAATCGCGGCCGGCCATGATGAGACGGCAGTGGGGAAGAATCGACGTTACCCGATCATCGGGCCTCCAGGACGAGGGCGAAGGGCCACCATCTTTGCGCTCTCGCGCGGCCCCTTGGAGAAGGATAGCTCTGCGGCCAAGGCCGCGAAGCGCGCCCCCACACCCTTTTCCAGGCACCCTGGGCGCCACATGCCAGGATCCCGTAACTCTGACGCCCTTCGCGACGTCGGCTTCGGAGCTCTCGACTAAACCACGGGGCAAGTTTTTCACCGCGTGACCCGGAAGTCGCCAAAAGTCCCTGGAGAATGTCTAAAACCTATTTCTCCTCCTCCCGCCCCTTCGTCTCCGTTGTCTTTCTCTTACTCTTCTCCTCCTCCTCCTCCTCCTCCCTTTCCTCCTCCTCCTCCTCCTCCTCCTCCTCATTCTCCTCCTCCTCTTCCCCCTCTACCACTCGGCCTCCTCCCCGAACTCCCTCTGAATCTCCTTCTCCGACTTTCTGTTCCCCTCGTCTCTTGCCGTTCCCGCTGCCTTCCGACTGTATCACGAGATATGGGGATACAACCACTGTGGACTTCATCATGACGCCCCCTCCATCAACGCACACACACACAAACACACACACACACACTTCAACGACTGCCTTTACGTTAAAGATGGAATGCCGGCCCATGCGTCTATTTGTGCCGCGCCTGTCTCGTATTGCCAGCCGCAAGGTGGCGGTGATGCTGATAACGAGCACCGTGTCCAGGCTGCGTGGCCAATTGACGATAATTGCTCTTGCGTGTCACCCGTCTCTTTTCTTCTCGGATCTGCCTCTCGAAGGGGGGGCCAGTCCAGTTTCCAGCTCACCTTCACGTCCTCCTCCTCCTCCTCCTCCTCCTCGAGGACCTGGACCAAACTACTGCGGCAAGGGGACCCTCCCCGAAGCCAGCAGCGGCTGCTCCGGCCGCCCGCGGGAGCGCATGCGCGCGGGAGCGCAGCGCATGCCGACGGAGGTGGAGCGAGAAAGGAAGGGGGGGGGAGAGCAGGGAGGCACCCTGGGGACCCGCAGGCCGGAGCCACCACGGCAGGACAACAGAGCCAACACGCTCAGACGAGAGCGAGGACGCGTTTAAAGATACCCACCGCGAGCTCTGGAGCGAGGCGCCGCCGCGGCCGCCGCCCCGGCCAGCGCCAACCCCTCGAACGGCACCACGTCCTCGACGAGCGTCTGGGGTATCCGCGCACGGCGGCCAGTCCAAGTCAAGACGCACACGCCGCCGCCCTCAACTACGGAGTCGCCATACAACGACCCGCGGCGAGGGGGAGAGGGGAGGAGAGGGGAGGGGAGGAGAGGAGAGGGGAGGAGAGGGAGGCTCTGCCATTTTCCTTCCTTCCGCAGTCCTCTGCTCCTCCCCTTGCTGCTACTGCTCTATCTCCTCCTCACTCCTCACCCGTCCTGTTTCTCCCCGTCCTCCAGATCCAACTCTTCCTCCTCCTCCTTCTCCTCGCTCTTCCTCCTCGTTGTTCTCCTCCTTCTCCTCCTCCTGCTCCTCCTCCTCCTCCTCCTGCTCCCTCCTCCTCCTCCTCCTCCTCCTCCTCCGCCTCCTCCTCCTCCTCCTCCTCCTCCCATTCCCTTCCCTACTCTCCCACCCATGCTTCATACTCCTCGCTAACAACTCCCTTCTCCTCCTCCTCCTCCTCCTCCTCCTCCTCCTCCTCCCTTCTTCTCATCATCATCATCATCATCATCATCATCATCATCATCATCATCATCATCATCATCATCATCCTCATCATCCTCATCATCACCATCATCATCATCATAATCATCATCAGCATCATCATCATCATCGTCATCATCGTTATCACCATCATCATCACCGTCATCATCATCATCATCATCATCAACATCATCATAATCGTTACCACCACCACCATCATCATCATCATCATCACCATCACCATCACCATCACCATCACCATCAACATCAGCATCAGCATCAGCATCAGCATCAGTATCAGCATCCCCATCAGCATCAGCATCAGCATCAGCATCAGCATCAGCATCAACATCAGCATCATCATCATCGTCATCATCGTTATCACCATCATCATCACCGTCATCATCATCATCATCATCAACATCATCATAATCGTTACCACCACCACCACCATCATCATCATCATCACCATCACCATCACCATCACCATCACCATCAACATCAGCATCAGCATCAGCATCAGCATCAGTATCAGCATCCCCATCAGCATCAGCATCAGCATCAGCATCAGCATCAGCATCATCATCATCATCATCATCATCATCATCATCATCATCATCATCATCATCATCATCATCGCCCACCCGGGGTCACTTGCGCGCCGTCTTCTCCATCAGGTCAAAGCACAGGTCCAGGTCCCCGCCGCGATTCGCCTAGCCGCCCGCCCCAGAAATGCCGCCCGACTGGACCGCAGGGCCTCCCGACGGATCGAACCAGGTCGGAAACTTACCAGATCGGATCTGGTGAAACCAATTGGGTGGCGCTATTGGCACCTTTCCTCCTCTGAGGATCGCCGGCGACCCGCCCCGCATCGAAACGGCACCGGAGCGCCGCGCGAGACTCCGGCTGGCCCTGGACGACGCTGGGTCGCAATCGGCGGCAAGGGCGACGAAGGCGGGAGGAGGAAGGACTACAAGGATTACCGCTATCGCAGGTGCGACACAACACTACTGACTATTCTACTCCAGCTTTGGGGTGCACATCGCGAAAGAATCAGTCTAGGCAGTCGAGGCGCGCCTTCGACATGGAGGAGAAGGAGGAGGAGGAGAAGGAGGAGGAGGAGAAGGAGGAGGAGGGAGGAGGGAGGAGGGAGGGAGGAGGAGGAGGAGGAGGAGGAGGAGGAGGAGGAGGAGGGCGGGTCGCGCTCGGCGGCGGGGGCGGCGAAGGCGGCCGCGGAGCCCTGCGGCGAAGGCTGCTCGGCAACTCCTCGCGGCGGCGCTGCCTCGAGGGAGCCCGCTTCGAGGGCGCACCGGGCGAAGGGCGGTGAAGCAGACTCGAAGTGATCCCTGTCCCTGGGACGGACAAGCCACAAGCGATGACATTTTTGGGGGGATCCTAAAGATCGGCACAAGGGTAGGGATAGGGGTAGGGGTAGGGTAGGGATCCTGAAGATGCCAAGCATAGGATAGGGATAGGCTTCCAGCTGGTAAGCCGCGTCTCTTCCTCCCGGGTGAGGCGGACCGGACCGATCCGCAGCTGCCGCCAACGACGCAGGGCCAGCAGGAGCGCCTCTTCAGGTTCAGATTCGGGCAGGTCTGCTCGGCATTCCCCCCCCCCCTCTCTCCGCCGCCTCTGCACGCAGCCCTGGGCCCGAAGAGGCGTGCAGGTGAGTCCCGACCGGCGTGGAGACCAGTCTCGGCCTCGGGCCTCGCCCCGCCTCCCCCCCCCCCGCCCATGCAAGCGGAGCCCACCAGCATCTCGACAAGAAAACCGCCGCCAGGGCCGACGCGCAATCGCCCAGGGCCCCGACATTCCGCTCCAAGACTTGCAGAACACCAGGGCGGACGCGCTTCATCGTCTTCGGCCTCTGGGGGCCCTCGCCTGGCCCCGGGACTGTCAGAAGACTGCCTGCCGAGGACGAGACGCCAGCCCCGGAGAAAGGGCCGGGACCTCCGGGGATCTGTACATTGAACAAATCTCAGAATAGAAGAACACACAAACGTTTGAACGTAAGCTTGTTCGGTGCCCCTTCGGTTGGCTCCATCCCCAGATCCAAGGCCACGCTAACGGCGGTGTTGCTTAACGGTGATGCTGGAAATCGGAAACTGAACTGCAGGAAATCACGAACCACACTTTCCGACATGTTCGATCTGCGGATGTATCGAACGAAGACGACACAGCAAAGTGTAGGAAAGCACGAGCCGCGCGTTTCCACAATACCGAAATCCACATCGCCGTTAGCGCGTCTACGGCAGATGGCTTGAACCGAAGTTCGTCGCCTTGCTCAACGATGCCTCGCCCGTCGCCTCCAGGGGGTGCACAATCTGGGCCCAGGTCCTCGGGTGCAGAGCGACTGGTGCTGTGAGAGAGGCCGTCCCTGGGCAGCTCGGTGTCTGGCTCACTCGGTCTCGGGTTAGGTCGGGCACGTCCTCCTATAGGGGGATTTTGGTAGTCACAACACTCCAGAGTTGTAAAAAAAACATAGAAAATTCGTCCCCAAACTATTTTTGTTGACTATGTTTGAAGAGCCCTCATGTAGAAGGACGTGCCTGGCGTAAGTCTCGGGGAGGTTCGCACCTGGCGCGGTGCCAGGCTCCCTGCTTGTTGCTGGCCGACGGCCACTTCACAGCGCAGGCTCCTGCTCCCAGGGGCGCGCAAACATGGATTAGCGATCCATGGATTTGGCGGGCGGACGCCAAATCCATGGATCGGGGGAGGTACCCTCCCCAAAATGCGGCCAGTGCCGCCTCGTTCGGCGGCGGAAATCCGCGATGAGTTCCCATGGAAACGGGACCCGTCGCTAATCCGCGCCCCCTTGATCCATGTTTGCGATCGCCCGATGCTCCTCTTCAAAAGGACCGACAGGACTCTGCTCAGCAACTCCCCCGTGCGGCAGAGTCCGGCGCTGCGGCGCAACTTCCGCCGGCGGCCAGGGCAGAGCGCGAACCACCAGCCTTCTCCTTGGGAGCACGGCGATGCGGCTCGGGCGAGGAGGGGCGACCCCGAGGACATGGAGGTGAAGAAAAAGGGGGCCAGAACTACGACTGAGCGCAGAAACGTGGTTTCGATCGTGGTCCCCGTTCATCTTGGCCAGCGCCAACACGTGGATAATCCTCGCAGGCCAGCGACGGTCAGCACGGACCCTGACCAGAATGGGCATTGACACGATCCCGCGACGTCTTGGTCATGGTCGGTGCGCTCCCTCCCTTGAGGACAGGCGACGGATACTCGAACTGCCCGGCGAGACGCAGCGGACGCCTGGCGGTAGGTCGGGCATGTCCCCCTACAGGCGGATTTTGGGCGAAAAATAAAACAAAGCCCGAAAATGTTCAAACCCAGCTAACAAATCAGACAAAAAACCTCCCCTGAGAAAAAATATCCGGGCGAAGGACCCAACCATATGCAGTTGTGAGTATCGCAATTGTGAGTATCTTCTTCGGTGGCGCTCCCTATGGGGCCACGAACCGCATGAAGGGTGTGCCGAAATGTGGCGGGGTACACAACGCAAAGGAATACGATATATCTGGTTGCGAGAGAAAGAACGCGGGTGAGTCAGAGCGCGAGGGAATCTGAGTATGAATGGGTTTGCGCGCGAGTGAATATATTTGCATGAATGCGATCATGGAAACGCCTAGTGTAACTGTATATGAATGTGAATGGTTCGAGCATGCCTGTCCGAACACACGTGACACTGGGCGTGGCCGCCGCAGGCAGCTTCCGCGGGAACCCCGACGGCAGCGTCCGCACGTCGCGACGCCCATGTCGGCACGCCTCTTGCGAGGATCGCGCCCGCTTTCGGCTCTTCTTTTCCTTCCTCTTTGCCCGCGCACTCCAAAATCCAAGGCTGCGGGCGCAGCGCAGCGCGGAGTCCCCGCGACGCGCGCTGGTCGCCCCGGGCGGGGTCCCAGCGACGCGCGCGGGTCGTCCGCTGCGCGAAGCAGAGAGAGCTGACTAGCTAACTGGCTGGCTGATAGCGGGCAAGTCTCTGACCGCTGGGCAGAGCGACGACGGGCGAACGAGGCGCCGGGCCCCCCGCAGCGCGGAGTTCCCGCGACGCGCGCTGGTCGCCCCGAGAGGGTCCCAGCGACGCGCGCGGGTCGTCCGCGGCGCGAGGCCAAACAATTAGTCGGGCAGTCGAGAGAAGGCGCGGCTCGGGGGAGACGCTCCTCAGGTCAGGCCTCGCGGATGAACTCGGTGAAGCCGAGCTCCCTGGCGAGGGCCGTCGCTTCCCTCCTGCACCGCTTCGTGCGCGCCGCAAACTGCTCCAGCTGCTTCCGCAAGCCCTGCGGCGGCCCTGCCAGGAAGAACTCGATGCGCGGCGCCCGCATGAGCAGGAGGTCCTCGTGGCGCGTGGCGCGCGAGAGCAGCACGTAGAGCTCCAGCCACCAGTCGTCGTCCTCCTTCTTGCCGTTCCCTACCTCGTGGCGGCCGCAATCCAGGATCACGCCTGGGCGACGTCGACCGAGGGAGCAGCGCGCCGGGCAGCCGACGGCCCAGGGCGAGAGTCCACAGGACCGAGAGATGGTCTGGCCGCGGACTGCTCGCGCCCCGGAGGTCTGGCCGCCCCCGGAGCGCCGTTCCCCCGCCCCGTCGCCTTCGCGCATGGTGCGCCCCTGGCACGCCACCGTGGTGATGACCCTGCCGTGCGAGAAATGCGGGGGGTGTGCCGAAATGGGTGGGGGTGACGCATGCGGGCGGCGGCACTGAGGCCTTCGGTGGAGCTCCCTATGGAGCCACGAAACGTGTGAGGGGTGTGCCGAAATGGGTGTGGGTGACGCATGCGGCCGCGGGCACTGGGGCCTTCGGTGGAGCTCCCTATGGAGCCACGAAACGTGTGAGGGGTGTGCCGAAATGGGTGTGGGTGACGCATGCGGCCGCGGGCACTGGGGCCTTCGGTGGAGCTCCCTATGGAGCCACGAAACGTGTGAGGGGTGTGCCGAAATGGGTGTGGGTGACGCATGCGGCCGCGGGCACTGGGGCCTTCGGTGGAGCTCCCTATGGAGCCACGAAACGTGTGAGGGGTGTGCCGAAATGGGTGTGTGAGGGGTGGAGTGCCGAAATGGGTGTGGGTGACGCATGCGGCCGCGGCCACTGGGGCCTTCGGTGGAGCTCCCTATGGAGCCACGAAAGCGTGTGAGGGGTGTGCCGATGATGATGATGATGATGATGATGATGATGATGATGATGATGATGATGATGATGATGATGTGATGATGATGATGATGATGATGATGATGATGATGATGATGATGATGATGATGATGATGATGATGATGATGATGATGATGATGATGATGATGATGATGATGATGATGATGATGAGAGGGGGGAGGAGGCAGCGGGAGGAAGGAAGGAAGGAGAACGCGGGGCACCATCTCTTCAAAACGTGGAACCAACACCACAGGATGGTTGGGAACAACAACTATGTTTGGATTTTCCTCCTGTAGAAGGACAGGCCCGACTTAAGCCTGGCGGCGGCAACGAGGGAATCTTCCCCAGAGCTGGCCGCCGCCTCGGGCCCGCCCCCTCGACGGGCGGGCGGCAGGAGGAGTTCGAGAGGGGCGCAGGCGGGGAGGGGGAGAGGGGCGGCGAGGGGCACGCGGGGAGGGTCCTTCCCCGCCTCCTCCTCCTCCTCCTCCTCCTCCTCCTCCTCTTTCTCACCCCTCCTCCTCCTCTTCTTCCTCCTGCTCCTCCTCCTCCTCCTCCTCCTCCTCCTCCTGCTCCTCCTCTTCCTCCTCCTCCTCCTCCTCCTCGTCCTGCACCTCCTCCTCCTTCTCCTCCTCCTCCTGCTCCTCCTCCTCCTCCTCCTCCTCCTCCTCCTCCTCCTCCTCCTCCTCCTCCTCGTCCTGCTCCTCCTCCTCCTCCTCCTCCTCTTCCCCCCTTTTCTCCTCCTCCCACCCGAGGGGGCGCGGGGAGGGCACGCGGGGGCGAAAGAAGGGCAGCCGGAGCGGGGAGGGCTGGAGGCTGTGCTGGCACGGGCGTGCTCCCTCCGCGCCCTTTGGAGGATGACTGGAACGATCAATCAGCTAATCGATCGACGAATGGCAGACGACAAAGTTTCTGTCAGCATGGCTCGGTGCGATCTCATGAAGACCGTCTAGGGTTTGCCACTGGCCAGCCCTGGAGTGAGCATGGATCTTGACCCCCCCCGGAATGAATTCTTGGATCTAGATGGGTCTGACCTTGAATGCTTGGCCCCCCCCCCCCCTCGGGCTCACCAGCTTGACCAGCACGGACAACGTCCAGCACGTGGGCTCCGTAGAAGAGGCCTGGGAGCGCCCCCGATGGCGACGGGGGCTCCGGAGGGGAAGCCCTCCACCTCGTCCTCGTCCGAGCGCGATCCCGCGCGCGCTCTCTTCCTCCTCCTCCTCCTCCTCCTCCTCCTCCTCCTCCTCCTCCTCCTCCTCCTGCTCCTCCTCCTGCTCCTCCTCCTCCTCCTCCTCCTCCTCCTTCTCTTCCTCCTCCGCCTCCGTAGCCATTTTGGCTCAAGTCCGTAGCGTTTCGCTCAGCACTTGAGATTATGGCAAGGGGATCAGCGGCCCCACCTGCTTTCCCTGGCATCACCGGCCAGGCCACATCACGCGATGAGGTAACCTCCGTGCGATCACGGGCAGGTTTTCTTTACCGGTTAGCTCCTGCGGGAGCCCATGCGAAAGGATACCTCACTTGCCCGGCGTGCAGGTATCGATGGAATCTCAAAACGAGCACGTTCTGCTACGCCTGCAACCCGACCCTCCTCCCGAACGAGCTGCCGTGGGGGGCCGCCCAGGGTGTCCGGGCCGCCCCGCGGCCCCGCCGCCGGGTCAGGGTGGCTATTCTGCTGGTGCGGGAGTGCCAGCCTACCCTCCAGGCACGTGGCCGCAGTGGGGAGGGCCGCCTGCGAGCTTGGCGCCGCCCCGCTCCTCCACTCCGCCGCAGCGCGTCTCGCCGCCGACCGCCGACGCCCTCTTGGACGAGCTCAAGGCCAGGGTTGGTGACGCGGCGGGTGCACAGCTGGAGGCGCTCCAGCAGGCCTTGGCGCAACCGCCAGCGCCGAAGCCCCCCCGCGCGAGCCCCTGCTCGAGGAGACAAGGGGGGTGGCCTGCCGCGGGGCCCAGAAGTGGTTGCGAGAATGTGTGGCGAAGGAGGCCGAGGCGGCCAAGTGGCTTGAGCAGCTGCGGGCCGCCACGGCGCAGGCAGCGACCGATGCGCACGACGCCGAGCAGGCGTGGAAGGATGAACTACGTGTCGAGCTTCAGCGTGCAGGTGGGCAACGACCAGGACCACCTGACGGAGCAGCCGAGAAGATCGCAGGCTCACAGATCAACTTGTCGGAGCTGCTCACGGGGAAGGGCGGCATCGACACAGTCGAGATTGTGGATGGGGCCGTGCTCGTTCTCTCGGACGTGGAGCTCGATGATTCAGATAAGCAAAGCCGAACCGCTCTCAAATCCAACATGGCGTCGCAGATCCGAGAGGCAATTTTGGCGGCAATCGGGCCCAGCGCTGAGCACATCCAGAAGCTTAGGCAGGAGGCACGAGAGATGCGACAGCGGCTCGCCAACAAACGGGCCCGCAAGGAAGACGGTGGTGGAGCGACGCCGCCAGCAGCAGGGGCACCAGCGGCTCCTGCCGAAGTGGCGGCCAATGCTGGGGCAGCGTCTTCTGCGGGCCCTGCCGTCGCTGGTGCTGCTCCGGCAGCCGCTGCTGGCCCAGGCCAATCACAGCCACAGCAGCGCGACCCAGACCAGATCAAAGCTATGGTTGAAGCAGCCCGAGCTCACAATGCAGAGTCTTGCCTTGGGTGGGGTCACGGGGTACCCTCTGACCAGTGTGACCTGTTTTTGGGGGCACGCCCCCGTGTGACTGGTTCGTGGGGCACATGGGCCTGCCGCCTGAGCACGCCATCCCTGCCAGAGATCCCGACAGGAGTCGGCACGAGTTTTTAGAATCCATGCAGGCCTGGAGCGCCAGATGGGTTTGGGATTTGAGAGGCGAAGTGGCAGATGACTTTTCTTCGTGGCAAGACTGGTGTGAACGATGCATGGCTTCTTTTCTGCAGGAACCAGATGCGGCGGCTCTGCGTCGGGCGATCCTTGCGCACTACAGACGGGACACTCTGACGGAAACCATTTCAGACACCTGTCTAGCTGCTTGGTCAAGAGGGCGGCCACTCAGACAACGTTTCTTCCGCATGATGCACGCTCTTACTGCTGACCCCTGGAACGCTTTTGCGCAGTACCACTGGCAGGAGCTCGACAACCTGCTGGCCTTTTCTCGAGCACAGCTGGAAAGGCGCAGGAGGACGCCAGCGGGGCACCACGGTATCCTTGGGGAGCCCGAGGGGCATGCCCTAAATGGGGCGAGGTGGCGGCCGCCGTTTTTGGGGCGCTCTGGCGTCCTTGGGGCATGCCCTAAAGGGGGGCGGAGGTAGCGGGCTCTTGACCACTGCCGCAGACATGCGGGTGGGCGATCCCTTTGGTCGAGTCCAGCCTCTTGTCAGTGCCGCGGATGCGCGGGTGGCCGAGTCCACTGGCGAGAGCGACCCCCCCCAAGCTGCCCGCGGCTTGCCGCCGCCGCCCGTGGGAGACAGCAAGGCGCTCTCACATTTCGCGGTGGTCACCTACAATTCTAATGCTTGGTCGACTGGTCTCAAGTTTTTGGAATGGTCGAAGCTGGTCAAAGCCAGTATATGAAGCACCGCCTGCTCCCGCATCAGGTCCAGGGCCCCAGGGCCTGGGCCCATCCGACAGGGTGCGCCCCTGCTTTTCAGCCCGCGGCCAGCACTGGACCGACGGACAGGGGATCTTCAGCTGGCACGGCGGTGCTCGTGCGCAATCACTTTGGCGTTGCGGACTACCAGCATCGGTACCTCAGCGAGCGCGCGACGGCCTGCCGAGTGGCTCTGGCGCACAACGCGGAGGTGCTGCTGGTCTCGGTCTACGGCCATACCACGCTCGGGCTCAGCGGCGCCAACGTCGACTTTCTGGAGCAGGTCAGTGCTGTGGTCGCCGAGGCCAGCATCCCGTTCGTGATCGGAGGTGACTGGGATATTGACGCGGAGGAGCGCAGGCAGTCTCAGTGGGCTGGGCACCTTGGGGCCAGCATCCTTCGGCTAGAAGGCGCGACCTGTCACGACAGCTGCTACGACTTCTTCGTCATCAGCGGGTACCTGGACTATCACGTCGACTGGTGCGCCGCGGTGGCCGAGACACCGGTAGGGCCGCGCTCGGCGGTGGCCCTTCGTCTGCGCGCGTTGGCTGGTCAGGCCAAGGTTTGGAAGCGCACCGTGCCCAAACGCTTCCCCCTGCCCGAGGATGAGAAGGAGAGACGACATATGTTGTTTCAGGATCCTGGGACGGCCCCAGATGGTTCACCTCTGGACGCCGCGTCCAGATGGTTCACCTCCGCGGAAAGGGCCGTGTCTGAAGTCCACGGTTTCACGGATGCCAAGTATCTTGGCAGACGCAAGGGATGTCAGGTCCAGCTCGTGCCGCTGCGACCCGCTTGGGGCCAAGAGCTCTACCGACGATCGAATCTGTCCGCTCAGAAGTGGCTCTCGCTGCGCCGCCTGTCGCTCCAATTTCGAAAGCTACAAAGCCTGAGACACCGGCTCAGCTGGTCAACCTAGCTACGCCACTTTCAAGCTTGTTCGCCGAGGCGGGCCAAGAGAAGCTGCGAGGACTTTCCGTGCCCGAATGTCTCAAGCAGCTGGCTGACGGCGCGACTCGAGGGCCGCTAGCGGACGCGGTCCAAGCCGAGGTCGCCAGCAGGGTGAAGCAGGAGGCGGCAGAAGGTCGACAGAAATGGAAGTCGCGGGCGAAGTCGTCGGTCGTTGGGGGAGGTCGCGTCGCTCACAGGTATAGCCATGGCCCTGCCCCTCCGCCCCTGCCAGTTTTTGCAGACGATGATGACCGTGGAACAGCGGCTAGTCTGCCTGCGCTTCTGGTGGGCCAGGCCGCTCTCGAGCAGACTTTGAAGGAGGGGATCCCCATCTGGACCAGCGAAGCGCGCGAAGGGGAGCAGCATCCTCTAGACTGGCCAGTGGAGGAGACGCTCGAACCAATCACAGCAGAGCAATTGCTTGAAGCGGCGGCCTCTGTCAGCCCGACCACGGCGTTGGGCTGGGACTCTTTCAGCCCGCGGCTTCTGTTGCAGCTCCCTCGGCCGCTTGTTGAAGCCTTCGCGGCCATCCTCTCGGCTTGGGGAAAGCACCCGGAAGTCGGACCGATGCGGCTAATGCTGGTCGTTTTCCTCGAGAAACCGTCGGGGGGAGTTCGACCGATCGGGCCGCTTCCCTTCCGGGCGAGGGTTTGGAGCAGAATCAGACACAGGCCGTGCTCAGAATGGGAGCGTCGCGTTGATGGGCGTTTCTTTTGGGAGATGAGCACCAGCACAGCCTGTGATAAAAGCGCGTGGGTTCACAGCGCGATTGCAGCTTACGCCCGTGCCCAGCCTGGCTGGGCATCCAGCGCACTCGTCATAGATTTGCGTCAGTTCTATGAACACATCTCGCACCAAGAGCTGCGAGACGCCGCCAAACACGCAGGTTTTTCGGAAGCCCTGTTGAGGGCTTACTTTTCGATGTATAGAGCGCCGCGCAGAGTCTCTTGGCAAGGCGCTGTCGGCCGAGTCCTCGTGCCCAACGGCGCGGTGGTGGCAGGGTGCTCTGGGGCCACTACGCCGTCGCGCTTGCTTCCCGCGGCCTGTCTGCAGCGCGCAGCGAAGGCCAGCCCAGTCGTCTGGATAAAAAATGTCATCGACGACGTTTCGCTGCATGCCGTCGGAGGTAAGGAGGCTGTTCGCAAGGAGCTAGGGCAAGCTTTTCGCGCGGTGACGGCTGACCTTGAACGCAAAGGGCTGCCAATTGCTCGTAAGAAGCTCGGCCTCCTCGCCTCCTCGGGGGAGGTGGCGGGCGGGGTCCTCCTCGACTGTGACCTCCCCGAGTCGGTGCGTGCCCAGGCCCACCGGGACCCCGGAAGGGGGCGCGACCGACGGAAACCGCAGGCGAGTCAGTACTCACCGCGATCTGTTTTGCGCCGCCCAAGCCGAGGTCGGACAACCCGTGGCCCTTCGGAACGCTGGAGCCCCAGCGGGCTTTGCTTTTTTTTCGGGCGGGGGCTTCGGCCGCGGCTCTCTGGGGAGCCAACATCCAAGGGCTCCCCGACGGCAAACTTAAACAACTTAGGGTAGCCGCTTTGCGCGCCAAAGGGCGCCTTCCTCGAGGCTGCTCTTTGGAACTAGCGTCCATGTGCTCACGTGGCGGCTGGGCCCGAGACCCTTTGGTCTTGGTCACCGCTGATGCTCTGAAAACCTATGTGCATATACTCAGAGATGGCCGCCTGTCTCCCACTGTGCTGCGCTTTCTGTTTACCCAAGGGCTGGCCACCGCGGCGAAAGCCCGCCCTTGGGCGCAAGTCAAGGACCCTGTTGCAGCTCTGATCCTCACTGCTGCCAGAGTGGGGATGACGTTTGCTGACCCCTGGACCTTGCACGAAGCCTCGGGTGAGTTTTGGTCCCTGGCTTCTGTCTCGCCTGCGTTCGTGGCTCGCCGTGCCCGCTTTGCCGCTAGGCGACTGTCGGACCACCGTGGCCTTTGCAAAATTGGACACGGCAGAGGTTGGATAGGCGATTTTTTTGTTGGCGGCCCCTCAACTAGCGGCTGCGCTGTAAGGTGCTAGACGACGACGACGACGACGACGGGGTGGAGTCGGGCACTGGTGGAGCTTGGGGGTTGCGGGAGCAGAAGGCCTTGAGAGGCCTTGTCACGGGCTCGCACTGGTGCCAGCGCAGGCTGCATCAGCGCGACCCTCAGCTGGAGGCAGACTGCCTCATCTGTCACGGTGCTCGTGGCACCCTTTTCCACGGGCACTTTGAATGCCCTGCCCGTGCAGCTTGGCGCCGAGATAACCTCCCGCCTGAGCTCCAGGCATCGGCGATTCGACTCTCCCGCTGCTCGGCCGAACTGCAGGAGCGTTTCGCTCGCGGCATCCCACCTGACCCCTGTCAGCTCCTCGCGCGGAGGCCCTGAGACCCAGCGCGGGAGTTCAAGGCTGAAGGAGTTGGTGCCACCCTTGCGGTGGAGGATGCCCACTTTTTTGCAACGGCTCGGCTCACGATGGAATGTTCCCCGCTCTGCGCTCTGCAGGCTGGGGGGTGGCCATTTATGACAGCGAGCGCCGCTGGATCACAGGCTTGCATGGAGCTGTCCCGCCAGCCACGCTTCCAGACCAAGTCGCCCGCGACGGCGAAGATTTTGCAGATTTCATGGCCACCAGTTTTTTAGTTGGCTTTTTCACGCTCTACTCAGATTGTATAGGCACGCTTGCTTGCTGCAACCAGCGCAGCTGGGCCGAGAGTCCAGTTAACACTCGCATGCACCTGTGGAAAAGGCTGCACGACAGAAATGAGGTGTCCCGTATCGCGTTCTGCAAGGTCAAGGCCCACTCGAGCATGGATGATGTTCGGGAGGGCAAGATCAGCCACTTTGAGAAACGGGCAACGATGCCGCCGACCGCCTGGCCACTCTAGGTGCAGATCTCAACAGACACGACCCGCAGCAAGATATGCTAGTCGCGAAAGGTATGCTGTATCTGGCCCGTCAGCTCATTACGTCCATAACCCGCGCCGAGGTGCACTACTCGGACATGGGCCTGTATGATAATGTGGGCGGCGCCCGGGGGCTCACCCTTACTTCGCTTGATGGCGGCGAAGGTCTGGAGGAGGACCTGGACGAGCTTAGACGGAGGGAGGATCGGCTGCTGCTGCTGCCCCCCCTCCTGCCCCCGAGGACCCCTCCCAGGACTTGCCCGCGGTGCCCCTGGGCCCCGACCTGGTCAGCCTGGCCCGTGACGCCCGCCAGGCCCCTTGGACCCAGGGGGGCCACCAGCTCCTTGAGTTCCCCGTGCTCGGCCAAGAGCTCGCCCCAAAAATTTGTTGCTCCACCTGCGGGGGCTACGCGACGGTCTCGGGTGGAGCTAGAGACCGTAAGTCTGTCTGTCCTGGGGCCCAAGCGAGTTTACTCGACCTTGGCCGCAAGAGCGCTCGAGCCGTGCTCCGTTCTAAGCACCCCAATCGCGCCTTTAAGCTAGGCCCCTGGAGGTCGCCTGGGGAGCGGGCTCGGGAGGTTTTCGGGGGGGTGAACGGCGGCCCAGGGGTCCAGCGGCAAGGCCAGCGAAGCGTGGGGGGTTTCTAGTGTGATTCCCGATCCCCTCTGCTCGGCTGATTGTTTGCAGGCTCTCGGCTTGAAACGGCCCGAGATCTCGGGGTCAAGCTCCGAGAAAAACGCAATTGCACTGATTTCCAATTTGAAGACGGTTAGCTTTTTGCCCAGGGGGGCCCTGTCGCTGGCCCCTGACAGGTTTTTGGCCTTCCTGTCAGGGTGACAAAAAGGCCCTCTCCGATGGGCCCCCCTAAGGCTTATTCTGCCGACTGTCGGATTATTTCTCTCTTCTCCCCCTTGGGTGGCGCGCGATATTCCTCCTCCTCGTTTTCCACCATCTTTCTGATGAGAAGCTCCTCCCTGTCCCTCTCCCAGACGTGTCGGCAGGGCGGGCCGGCCTGGGAGCCGCAGCCCCCGACCCAGGCAGAAGGGCGGGCCGGGCGATTCGCGTGAGACTTCCTCACCCGTATGATTCTGAAAGTGGTTCTCGCCGTCAGTGCCGCGCACATTCGTCTTAACGTTGCAACAGCATCAAGGACGGGGGGCAGGCCCTTTTCAAAATGTGGCTCTCGCCTTAGCGCCCGGCGCATTCGTCTCAGCAGTCTGCCACCGTTTCAAAGATCCGTAAGGTTGAAGTCCCAGGAATTGTGTCCTAGTGCGATTTCGGATGGTCCGAACGCATGGGTTGCGCTGAATCGCGGCGTTTGAATCCCAACAGCGGCGTTCTGGCACGATCTAGAATTCCCCGAACGCAAAATTGCACTGATCCGTGGCGTTGAAGTCCCAGGAGTGGTGCTTTGGCGCGGTTGGAAATTACCAAACGGTTGTCTTTCAAAGGGGCATTTAGGAAGGGGTTCGTGAAACATCGCTGATACGTCTTGGGTTTACATGAGTCCTCCTCCTTCTCTTCCTCCTCCTTCTCCTCTCGTTAATTCAATACCTCGCTGCGGCTTTCTCGCTTCGGTGACGTCGGTAAGGAAGAGCCCCTCTCCCGCACCGCTGGTGCCTGCAGCGACTTGGGGTCACGCTGCGGAGTGCCTCTCTTGGCCTGCTCACGCTGAGAATGGTCTGCTCTCACCACACCATGAGGAAGGTGAAAGGACAAGGAGATGGAGAAGGAGGAGGAGGAGGACCAGTGTAAACCCAATACGCATCAACGATGTTGGAATAAACACTCCCCCCCTCCTTCTTTACAAACCTCGACACATAGTAATTTCCACTGAAGAAAATGCCCCGTCTGGAAACAACCGTTTGAAGACCCTGAAGCGTGCCAGGACACCGTTCCTGGGAGTGCAGCGCCACGACTCAGCGTACCTATTGCGCCCTGGCAATCCTGAACCGCTCCAAAACATTTTTTCCTGGTACGTGCGGCGTGAAAAATACAACTCTTACAAATATGTCAAGCGAATTGTGCGCGGCACTAAAGCGAGAACCACACAAATTGAAAACAAACGGCCCTAAAACCGTGACGATCTTGCAATGTATGTCAAGACGCCTGCGTTCGGCGCTAAAACGGAAACCGCATGTTGAGAACGAACCACCCTCCATCCGTGAAGCTCTTGCGATTTGTTTAACGGATACGCGCGGCGCTAATGCGAGACTGACTTTCTAAAACGGCCCGCCCTCAGTCCGAGTAGCCCCGTCAGTTTTGTATAACGAATGTGCGCGGCGCTGAAACGAGAATCGCATGTTGAAAATCACCACCCTCAATCCGTGAAACTCTTGCGAATGCTGAAAACGAATGTGCGCGGCGCCAAAGCGAGAACCACATGTTGAAAACCACCCGCCCTCAACCCGCTAAACTCTTGCAATCTTGAAGACGAATGCGCGCGGCGCCAAAGCGAGAACCACATGTTGAAAACCAACCGCCTTCAATCCACTAAACTCTTGCAGTTTTGAAGACGAATGTGCGCGGCGCTACGACGAGAACCACATGTTGAAAACGGCCCTCCCTCAATCCGTGAAACTCTTGCAGTTGTTTAAAAACGAATGTGCGCGACGCTACGGCGAAATCACATGTTGACAACCACACACGCCCAATACGTGAAAAAGTGGTCAACATTCAAGCTTTAGGGTCATGACTGGTGCGGGAATATCTGGCGAAACGCCCAGCCCGCCCTTTCGACTGGCCTCGGGATGCGACAGGGAACGGAGGCGGAGGAGGAGGAGGAAGAGGAGAAGGAGGAGAAGGAGGAGAAGGAGGCGTGGGAACAGAAACTGGAGAGGGAAAGGGACTGGATGGTAATCGGGCGATGGGAGGGCCAAATGGTGAATTTCAAGGAGGAGGGGAGAGGACTAGGCTAGAAGTGGAAAGGAAGCTGCCAGCAGCTGGGGAGGCAATACAAGTGGAGGCAGTGGAAAAAATTATAAGGGATGGAAGAACAGTGTACGGGGAAGGATGATCGGGGAGAAGACTGCGAATGGATAGGGGACGACACTGATTCTGCAATGGGGGCACGGAGAAGGACAGTTGACGACGTGACGACGGAGGAGAACGCCTGCACATGGGATACGCAGAGAAGAACTGGAACTTACCTCAACTGTACCTCCTCGTTATTGCCCTCCTATTGCTCCTCCCTCCTCCTCACCCCCTGTCCTCCTCCTCCTTTCCGGTTTCTCCTCCTCCTCCTCCTCGTCCTCCTCCTCCTCCCTCCCCCCCCCCCGTTCCTCCCTCCCCTCCCCTCCCCTCCCTCCTTCTCTCCCTCTCGTCCTCCCCCTCTCTATTTCTCCTGCTCCTCCTGCTTCTCATCCTGCTCCTCATCCTCCTCTGCCCTTGCGCTCCCGACGCATCCCCCTCGCCTCCATCCTTCGGAACAGGCTCAGCCCGCGCTCGATCAGGCCCTGTCTCGCGCACCCGTCGAGCAGCGTGTTGTAAACGACCTGGAAAGAGTGCCCCAGATCGAGGGGGGAAACTGGAAGGACGGCTAGTGGGGTCCCTACCCCCCTGTGCCCGTCAAAGGGGTGAGAGGGAAGGAAGAGGAGGAAGGGAAGGAGGAGAAGCAGCAATGCAAACCCAAGTCACATCAACGATGCTGCACTAAGCCAGCCTTCCAAGTTCCTTCGTCGTTGGCTCTATACAATACGTTCACTGCTGGAAAGCTCCACTGACAAATAATCGTTTGGTGATCCTCAACCGTGCCAACACACAATTCCTGGGATTCCACCGCCGCGAATCAGCGCAACTGTTGCGTCCGCACGTTCCTGGGTCGTGCCAAAGAATTGTTCCTTCGACTTAAAAACAGCGGTCCAGCACAATTGTTGCGTCTGGATCGCCCGAAATCGTACCACAATGTCGCTCCTGGTGCTGCAACCTTGCGAATCTGTAAAGCGGCGTCAACACTTTGAAACGAATGTGCGCGGCGCTGGGGCGAGAACCACGTTTCGAAAGGAGACGCGCTTCACCCTCGAAGCTGCTGCAAGCTGTTAACACGAATATGCGCGGCCCAGAGGCGAGATCAACATTTTCAGAACGAACCACTCTCCATCCCTGCAGCTGCTGCAGATAGCCACATTGTAAACATGGGCCCTCCATCCATTAAACTGTGGTAAACTTTCAGGGCGAATGTGCGCGGAGCAAGAATGGAAAGCAATATGTTGAACATCTCCCATCCTCTAATTATCCCTGGAGCTGTAGTAATTATCAAATTTCAGGATCAAAAATGGCGAGGAGGTCTCACGCGAAACGCCCAGCCCGCCCTACCGACAAATCCGGGGGTGCGACAGGGAGGAGTTATTCATAAGCGACAGGGATGGAGGAGGAGAAGGACGAAGAGCAGGAGAGAGAGAGAGAGAGAGAGAGCGAGAGAGAGCAGAGAGAGGAGGAGAGGCGGGAGGGAGGGAGAACATGAGCGAGGGAAGGAGGGAGGGAGGGAGGGAGGAGAAAGAGGATCACATTCACTTCTGTGGGGGGGGGGAGGGGGGGGGGGACAAACTTCGGGCGGCAGCATGACATGGAAGGTAGTGGCATCTTACGGCGGGGAGACGGAGCACGGGAACATGGGGGAACACGGGAGGGGACCATACCGTGGCTGCCTGGTGCGACGCCGACTGCGGGGATCGTGGCGGTGGTGCGCGCATAGAAAATCGATTACCCAGGGTGAAGATCACCTCCGGGCCTCATCCTCGCCGCCCTCCACTGGGGAGAGCCTGCTGCTACGAGTTAACCGCCGCAGCGGCGGCTGCACTGCGAGGGATGATGGACAGGGGCTGGGCGTAAGTAGCGGCCTCCTAGATGGGGTCGGAGGATCGCGCCGCATCGCCGATACATCGGCGATGCAGCGGCGATGTACTGGCGATGCACTGGCGATGCATCGTCGACGTCGGCGATGCGTCGGCGACGTCGACGTGAAGCAAATCGAGCTCCACATCGAGCCGCATCGGCGATGCATCGGCGATGCGGCGAGATCCGCCGACCCCATCTACTCCGACCCCATCTGGGACGCCTAGAATAAGTGCGCGCACAACTCCAGGGTGGGGACATGGACAGAGCAGCTACCTGGACCACTGCCGAGTATGGGGGCCTGCACTGTTGGTTGGCGAGGCGCGCGCCAGGGCGTGGCGCCAGGGGGGGGGGGGCTTCTGAGAGGGAGGGTGGCTTTTTAGAAGCCCTCTCGGCTTCCGAGATGCCTTCTTGCACAGTAGGAACCCGACCACAAGAAACCTTCCACAAGAAACCCAACCCTGAGGCCCCTGGGCATCAGTAGATTTGGGGTGTGGGCACGTAGCGCTTTCCACAGAAAAACCATCGAGACCCGAGAAACCCAGGGAACCCTGCAGGCAGGCAGGGTGTTTCTTGGCATGCCCCCCCCTCTGTACACGTCGTTCATTTCTGATCGTGCTTATTTCTAATCCTGATCGTTTCTAATGGTTCTGGGCCCCTAGTGGCCAGGACGAGGCCCAGGACAGAACAATTGGAAATTATCCCAGAGCGACCCTACCTAGGAGTTGGAGCCTCGAGGAGAGCAATATTAGTAGTGCATGCTATGCTATGCTATGCTGCGCTATGCTATGATATGCTATGAATGCTATGCTATGCTATGCTATGATGTGCTGCGCTATGGTATGTTATGCTATGTATGCTATGCTATGCTTATTATATGCTGCGCTATGATATGTTATGATATGCGATGCTGCGCTATGACATGATATGATATGTTATGCAATGCGATGCTATGCTATGCTATGCTGCGCTGTGCCATGCTAAGCTAAGCTATGCTATGATATGCTATGATATGCTATGCTGCGCTATGCTATGCTATGCTATGCTATGATGTGCTATGCTATGATATGCGATGCTGCGCTATGCTATGCTGCGCTATGCTATGATATGCTATGATATGATATGTTATGATATGTGATGCTATGCTATGCCATGTTAATGCTGCGCTGCGCTGCGCTGCGCTAAGCTAAGTTGAGCTAAGCTAAGCTAAGCTAGGCTAGGCTAGGCTAAGCTAAGCTAAGCTGAGCTCAGCTACGCTAAACTAAGCTAGGCTAGGCTAAGCTAAGCTAATATGAATTAAGCAACGCTAAGCTAAGGGGACGTATCTGGGGGAACCGCGGGGCGGATACTGGGGGAACCGCCCGGGGCGCTTTCCACTGCCCGGCCCTTTTAAGCCCAGAGAGTAAGAACCCTTCCAGGCAGAGCCTAGGTAGGGAATGAAAGGATCTTGGCCCCCCCCCCCACAACCAAATAACTTTCGTATTTGTTGAACTGAACAATGTGCAAGCCTCTGGGCACTCCGAAGCAGGCCCCTGGCTTCTAAGAAGAAAAAGAAGACGCAGCCCACCGCCTTCTTAGAAGGCTGCCCGCCCCCCCCCCCCCCCCGCGCCGCCCCGTCGTGCACGCCCCGCCAAGTTGGGGTCCTCGCGCCGCCGCTTCCAGGCCTCTTGGGGCCGTTTTGGGCGACCCTCGGGCTCTTCCGGGCTCTTGGGGCCGCACTGGCGCTCGTTGGGCGGCCTGGGGGGCCGGCTCGGAAGGCGCCGGGCCAATCTGGGAGAATCTTTGGGCGGTCCTGGGGTGCTGTTGAGCCGTCGTGCTCGCCAGTCGTGGCACCGTGGTGCAGTTTCGGGGAACTCTGGTCTCTTCGAGGCCTCCAGGACCAGGCCAGCAGTGCCTGGAGACCGTATTGTCGGGAGCGGCCAAGAGGGGGGTGTCCAAGAGGTGGGGGGTGCAAATCATGACTGGCGGCATGTGCGCGGCCCAGCGGGGGGGCCAGGGACGTGATGAAACAAGAAGAGGCGTCATGAAATCTGGGGAGATATCATGGCCCCCGCCATGATATCCACCCCCCTAGTCATCACCCCCCTCTTTGCCGCCCCCGATATTGGCCAGAGGGGCACAAACTTCTCGGAGGCCCGCGCGGATTGCTTGGATTAGCGCTGGGCCTCGTCTGGCTGGAGCCCACACGTCTCCTCCATGTGGTCCAGGACGTCGAACGCCTTGTCGAGCTGGTTCGCCTGGCAGTAACCCTTGAGCATGGTGCTCCACCTGGGCTCTCCTGCTCCTTCTCCTCCTCCTCCTCCTCCTCCTCCTCCTCCTCCTCCTCCCTCCTCATCGCCCCCCCTCCCCCTCATCATCCTCATCCTCCCTCTCCTCCTTCCCATCCCCCTCCTCCTTCCCCCCTCCCCCCCCCTCTCCCCCCTTGCCCTCGGCCCTCCAGCGAAGAACGTCTCGCCGATCGAAGGGCGACCGACAACCTACGACCGACGGGCATTCTGGCCGGATCCGTAGGCCCATCGGTGTTAAACGAACCCAAGACTTGGAAAACATCGGATCAGGGAAGTCGGGTATCTCTGAGATCCGGCGATTCTGGATGATACATCAAGCGCAGTGGCCGTTCCAGAGCGCTCCAAAAACCCCTGGGGCGTTCCAGAATGTTCTGGAACAAATTATCCCGTCCTAGCCTAGCCCGACGGTGGCCAGATCGAAAGCACCAAGACCTACGGAGGCAGGCAGATGTTTGTTGCAGTCGCGGCGGTTTTTCCTGGTTTCGGCCTTTGGGACATGTGCTTCGACCCTCGGGGCCATCAGACACGGATCCGCGACGAGCGAAAATCCCCCCGGCTGGACATTGGGGGCGCGGCTGGAGAAAATCACACCGTCGCATGCCTGGGGATGCTGGAGGAGAGGAGATTCCTACGTTCCTGAATAACAGCGAGCTCTCGGTCCGCTCGGATTTCCTGGATCGGCACTGGAACCCGCGCCTGCCCTGCCCCACGCGCAGCGCAGCGCGCCAAGGTCGGCCGGGTGCTCCACCGCTGGCCCACGAACGCCGCTCCGCCCTTCGAGAGTTTACGTGTGTGTGTAGCTTTCGATACGGTGATGGCATTGGATAAGGAATCCTTGCATAGGGGATCCAGGGTCTGGAAGCTTGCGGAACTCCAACTGGTGCTTGGCCATGGACATCACCGCCGCTCTCACCAGACAAGGAAACCTCCAGGGTCTGCAGCCTCCTGGGCACGTTCCTGAACGACGAGCGCCCCCACCGTATTCGGTTTCCTACCTCTTGTGGCCCTCCTGGAAGGCCCTCGTCGACATGGCTGGATCCGCCTCGAAGTCCCGTCAGGACGCTGCCCCAGGAGAGGTCAGGTCCTCGTTGGGAGACAACTGTGTGAACATATTGACGCGTGCGAAAACACCAGACTCAGGATTTCAACGCCACGAGTTAACCTGACTGTTGCGCCATAGCGATCCTGAGCTGTGCCAGAGCACCATCCCTGAGACTTTGCAATCCTGAATCGCTCCCTAAACCTAAACCCCTCTCTATACGTCAACGATAAGAACCCATGAAACTCTGGCAAATGTTTGAAAACATATGCGCGGCGCCAGGGCGAGAGCCACATCTTGAAAAGGAGTCGTCCTGAATCCGTGAAGCTCTTACACACGGTTTAAAACGAGTGTGCGCGGCGGAGAGCAACATTTTGAAAACCAACTGCCCTGAATCCGTGAAGATCGTGAACAGTTTGTAACCACCCGCCCTCAATCCGTGAATATTTTGCATTATTGTTTTCAGCGTGTGTGCGGCGCTGAGGCGAGAGCCGCATTTTGAACACCACCCGCCCTCAACCCGTGAAGCTCGTACAATTTTCTAAAACAGAATGTGAGCAACGCTACAGCGTGAGCCACATTTTGAAACCCACCCGCCCTCAATCCGCGAAACTCTTACGAATTTTAGAACAAATGTGCGCAGCGCTACGGCGAGATACGGCGAGAGTCACATGTTGAAAGCCACCCGCCCTAAATCCTTGACGCTCTTGCAGTTGTGCTTTAAACGAGTGTGCGCGGCGCTAAAACGAGAGCCACATTTTGAAAACGGCCCGCCCTCCATTTGTGAAGCGGTTGTCAGTTTTTAAAGCAGCAGGGTCTCAAGTGGCTAGGGGGTCTCGAGCAAAACGCCCGGCCCGCCCTTTCGACCGGCCTCGGGGTGGGACGCGGAGGAGTTATCTAATAAGGAAATGGAACGAAGGAACAGGAGGAGGAGGAGGCAGAGGAGGAGGACAGCGTACAGGGGGGGTTCAGCTCCACCCTAAGACAGAGGCGCAGGGGCGCCAGAGGTCGTTGCCTCGCTCTTTGCGGTGTTAGAGCACCAAAGCTGATTATGCCACGAGGAGGGAGGAGCAGGGGAGGAGCACGCAGGAGCAGGGGCAAGGCTCAAAGGAGCGACGGAAGGGGTGGGAGACGGGGGAAACGCCAGCGACATAGCTAACACCAGGGGAGAGGAGCGAGAGGAGACGGCAGAGGGCAGCAGCAGGGAGGGCTCAAGGGACAAGGGAGACGGAACGGGCGGATGGGCATGCGTAGAGCCGAGCGTGGGCGGACAGAGCGAGGTGTGCGGGGCAAAAGAGGACAAGGGGGCAGTCGAAAAGAGGCAGCGACGGGAGGGCTCAGGGTAAGGCGGGGTCCTTGGCGCGGACCACGGGGGGGGGGGAGATAGCCTCAGGGTCGACGGGCTGGCCATCAGGGTGCTCGGAGACCGCGAGGGAGTCCATGACAGCGATATCGGGGAACAAGACGCCACGGACGAGCAGGGCACCATGGGAGCAGCAGCCCGTCCAGGAGTGGTAGCCAGAATGCACCCCTGCCGTGAGCGACGCACGATCAGGGACGGCACAGAGCCAGTGAACTTCCCCTCGGGAGTAGAGCCAGCCTGCTTCCCGGGGCTCGAGGAGCACCCCAGCGCAGGACAGAGCGTTCTAATCGCCATCGGCGGAAGAGACCACTCCTCGCAATTTACTCTAGACGCCTGAACCGACGGGCTCGAGGAGCACCCGTCGCCAGGACATTGCGTTCTAACCTCCCCAGCCTCAACTCCAGGGGGCGGCAGCAGCCACTCCTCGCAATTTACTCTAGATGCCTGGACACCTGGGCTCGAGGAGCACCCAGCGCCAGGACTTGGCGTTCTGACGATGTCAGTACCCCATCTGCTCGGCACTGGGGGTTCGAGGCAGCCGGGGTCGTCGCTGTGTATCTCTCTGGAAGGCGTCGCAATCAGAGTAGCTGGTGTACCAGGAGCGGAGGGGGAAGAGACTCTGTCGTCATCGGTGTGGACCGTGGGGACCAGCTGCGGAGTGAGGCACGGTGATCCGTAATCGTTCTCGACCACGTCAGGACCAGAGCGCGGTACTCCATCAGTGTCGACGCAGGGCGGGCTGTCCGAGGTCTTGCCCACAGATGTAAGACCATGACTACCAGCGGCCAGTTCATCACCGTCTTGGGGATCTCCAGGGGGGTCGGGCAGCAGCTCGTCGTCCTCGATATCACTAGATGATGTCGATGAGGTCGACGTGGGTAGAGGAAGGCGGCGAAGAATCAGTGCGTCTGGGGGCTGCCATTTCTTTTGCCATTGTGAATCGGGCTTGGCCAATCTTAGATTTCTGACCGCTGCTCTCGCACTAGATCGAAGGTCATTGGCGGTGACGTACAAGCGAAATCGCATGTTGTGGTAGATGTTGAAGGCAACTGTCACGGCTTCGACATGCTTGATGTCAGGGAGCCGCAGTCCCAATCGGTCAGGGAGGAGTGGGAGCATCTCATATCCTAGTGCTTGGTACACCGCTGTCCAGAGCGGGCGGCAACGCATGTAGTGATACTGTCGATCATCGTGGGCTCGGCATCCAAAGATACATGAGCGGGAGCCTCCAGCATATTTGATGCGCGATGAGGTAAGCCATCCAGAGCAATAAGTCTTTATAACAGGCATGGCCCAGCTCATGGGAACCAGCGATAGAAGTCCACCAATCTCTGTCCAGGCCACACGATCCAGGAACGGTTCCCATTCATGTACATATTTCAGAAGACGTCTCTGCACCAGCGAGGCGAGTGGGAAGGGTGTCACCAGCAACTCCCGAAGGGCACGGGTGGCAGCACGTTGAGGCTTGGGCTTCCTGTCGGTGGCCAGGAGCTCCTGGGCGATGGCCTGCACGCACGTGTTATTGATCTCGGTGGTGTACGCTGCCTCCCTGCTTGGCTGGAGAACTGATGCGTATCCGAGCAAGAAGGAAGGGGATCGCCAGTGCGTGCCAGTATGGTCGAGTGCATCTCCCGAGTCCGAATCGCCGCCAGAGGCGCATCATCATATCGCCCCGCCATGAGGGAACATCTCCATTCAGATTCCAGCTGTCGGAATCGATCGTTAATGGTAGTGTGATCAGAAAACGTGACTAATGCAGCTCGAGCATAGGCAGCGGCGCACGAATGTAGCAGCAGAGGGATACGAGGGCCTCCCCATTCTCCAATTTGGGCCCATCCAGCTAAGGTGAGCATTCCAAGAGGGGCTCTGAAGACTTGCGCCAGAATCCCCAGTTCCAGAGCGGCGAGACGTTGAGGGAGAGGAACAAATTGGGCCACATATGAGACCACTGAGAACACCCTGGACGAGTACAAGACGCCGTTGATACTAGCAGGGGCAGCCCCAGACCCCAGTAGACGAGCCCGTAATTTGAGCTTCTGTAGCGGTGCAAGCCACTGCATGTCGACAGTGACGGCGGGGCCCAGCAGGAGGCCCAGGTAGAGAACGTGGGAGGCCACTTCGAAGGCGTGCCAGGCAGGGACCAGGCGCTCGACCAGGGACAAGGTGTGGAACTGGAGGGACTCAGTGAACTCCCCCTTGAGCGGGACAATTTTGCACTTCATGGGCTTCAGCTTCAGCCCTGTGAGACACTCCGTAACCACCATCACATCATATAGCACCTGAAGGTGCCTAGCTTCATATACCACTGCTCCTATATCATCAGCACACGCACGAGCAATACCATATCCAGGAGCCTCGAGGGAGTCCTCCAGCGCTTGGAGAAAGGGGGCCGTGCCGAGGGCGTAGAGGCTCCCAGAGAGCCCACATCCTTGGATAATCCCAGACCGCAGCCAGTATATAGGGATAAGTTGGCCAGCATGGGCCACCACACCTTGAATAGCGAGGTACAGCCACGAGAGAAACCACAAGAGGGGCCTAGGGAGCCCGAGCTTCTTCATCAGAATCAGCAGGTACTCTT